GAGAGAGAGAGAGAGAGAGAGAGAGAGAGAGAGAGAGAGAGAGAGAGAGAAGGTGGCGATGCCCTGGGTGCAGGCACGTAACCTCCACCACCACCTCCACCCCCACCTCCCCGTACCTTGCCAAAATAGAGAAGACAAAATTATTTTCTTAGCTCATCACTCTATTCGGGGGACAGCCTCCTTTGGGCGGCGCCCTCTGTGCCGGCGCCTCTGTATCGTAAGGGGGCGGAGTGCACGTCTTTATTCGGACAGTCGGACGGACGGACAGACAGACAGAAGGGGCAGCGGGGGATGTCGGAAGCGGGCGTGCGAGCGGCCGGCAAGGCGCGCGTGTTTTTATCGCATTTTATCTGAAACACACATACATAACACAGGGCACGAGCAAAAGCTGCCTGCTGCTCAGTGACTGCAGGTGAGTACAACGTGCAGCGCCCCCCCCCCCCACACACACACACACACGAGCGCACGCAGACTGCGTGTAATCCTCATTCAGCTTTGCTTAAAGTGACCAGGCCACAGAGAGGCTCAACTGCTAAACGGCCACCACCCCCTTCCTGCTGGCCGCCTCACCTACCGGGCAAGTGCTAACCGGGAGGGCCTATGTGCCAGCCGGGCTGTGCGGGGAGAGGGAGGGTTAGGGGGTGGCTAACATCCGTCTTTTGTTTGGCCGGTCGCCGAAGCAGAGGGGGGAGGTGCGTGCGTGCGTGTGTGTGTTGGCCATGCTGAAGGGGGTTGCTCGCGCGCCACGCCAAGGCAGGCCGCTCTCCGTCCGCCGGGGGTGAGTTACTGCGCCGCTGGACACGGTGCGGCGCCCCTAGTCCAGCCCGATGCTAGTCAGCGATAAACGCGTGATTGTAATTAAACGGCGGTTAATGTTCCGCCACAGATTCCAAACATTAATTTTCAGGACCGAAATTGATCAACGTTTCGTCATCAGATCTTGACGCATGTGCGTGTGCGCCCGAGGATGAAAAAGGAGTGGGTTTCTAATGCACACCCCTTAGGATGGCTTTAAAAATTATAAACCCACAGAAAAAAAAATGGACGACATTTTGTAAAATCTTAAATCACAAATTTTAAGACTGTCCCAACCCGTTCCTAGTGAAAGCACACAGATGGGAGCGGCAGTCCCCAAGGGG